TAAAAGCACTATTTTTGGTTTGTTCCAAAGAAAAAGAAAGAAAAAGCTTAGGCTCTTCCTAAAAAAAGCCTAAACAACTTTTACTTTTTGGCAACCCTAATAAATGTCGTTGTGACTTTGCTTAATTTTTAACCTTGAAATCTTTGCCTTTCAGATCAAATTTTAACAATAAACCATATTATTCATTCATTCTTTCATTTCATTTCATTTCATTTATTATTTGCTTCCTGTGAAGCAATTAACAATAAAACACCCATAAAAAACACCCACAACATAACAGGTAACAGTTTCATAGGGCTGGATCCAAAGTTTACTGCCTGTGAGCAGAAGGGGTCATTATCCATCAGTGGTTTCCTCACCAATGGTGTGAGAAGGCAAGCTTTATGGATTCTTCCTTGTCCTTGCAGTGCCTCACACTATTCCACTTCCTGTCCTCCCTCCTCCAGCACAAGCAGAACTCAGCTGAATGCAAGTCTGAATCCAGCACTTAGGACTCATCCACACTTCTTTTCTGCTGTACTTTCTAGGCACAGGTCTGAGATTTTTAGGTCCCTGTCTGAACAGTTTTGTTTTGTATTTTTGTCCCACCACGTTATCAGAGAAAACCCACTGTTCATTCTGATTCAACAGTAAACAGCTGGCTTTCCTGGGAAAAGCAGCAGGACAAAAAAAACACAACACACACACAAAAACTTGGACACAGAAATCCAAGTCCTGTGCCTAGAAAGTGTGGGTGCGCCCTTAGTGTCTCTTTTTTGGGGGGGTGTTCCCTAGGACTTGCCAAACCTTCTCAGACTCAAAGCTTCTCGTTTAACCCATGCTGTGCTTTTAGTTGTAGTAGTAGATGACGTATAGGAAATGATTATCAGTATGTTTATGCACAGTAATGCAATCAGAGACTTCAGTGTAATAGGGCCGTGTTAGTTCTTGGATCAAGTTAGTAATCTCAGCCCCTAACCACAGTGTTACTGTACATTTCCTACCATTGCAGTTTCTACGCAACTGTGTCCTTGAGGTAATGCTAGGCTCGGCTTCTTTTGGATCCTCTTAAGAGGGTCCATACACCATCTGCTATCTCCCAGGTGGTTACAGTAATCCCTTCCCCCACACAGAGAATGCATTAACCCTGCAAAGTGCTACACTGAGCTACAATCTGAAACAAAATGTCATGTTATTTGATTCCACTGTTCTATACCTTTTCTCCAGGACCGATTTTGTTTTAGTCACTGTTTAAAGCCATTCAATATACAAAGTATATTGAATGGCACTGAATCTCAAGGGAAGTTTGGAGATTTCATGTCATTCCTGGACAATACATTGTTTATAAGTACCAACACAGTATTAATTATGGTTACAATATGGGAAGCCAATAACCAGATTCCACACATCCCCCCTTGAAGTTTCCTCCCCAAAACTTTGGTATTTTCTTCTAGACCCTATTAATTGAATCAGAGGGAATAAATTAACCCCCGAGACAAAAGGTTTACAAGTAAGGCGTTATCCCATGCATACACAAGTAGATGTCCGTTGTTCTGATGTCTTATAAAAAGCAAACTAACAACTTGCATCTGGTCATGCAATTCAAAATCTGTCTTTTGGCTGAGAAAACAATCTAACGAAGGACAAAACATGTCCTACATACTGAGCAGCATTTTAATGCCTTACATAAGGATACATAAACTGCAGGTCTGAATTCTAAAACAATAGAATATAGCTGCACATTTTGCTTGCTTAATATTATGTTGGTAGATTCATTTTATATGGCATTCTAATAATAGCCACCTTGCTCTGAAAATAGGCCTCTTCTCTAGAGTAAATTATTGTATATTTATTTATGACATTTGTGGGAGTTTTGGAAGTATATTTTTATCCTGCTCTTATTCTTTACCAAGTATGAAACATATGCAGCCAGAAGATATGCCTCTTTAAAAACAAAGAGTACATGTTAGATTCAATAGTGTGTAGTAATAATATATGTTTAAAATAATTTTTCATATAGGTTCTTGCAAGCCAGTGTGGTGTAGTGGTTAAGAGCGGTAGTCTCGTAATCTGGGGAACCGGGTTCGCGTCTCCGCTCCTCCACATGCAGCTGCTGGGTGACCTTGGGCCAGTCACACTTCTCTGAAGTCTCTCAGCCCCACTCACCTCACAGAGTGTTTGTTGTGGGGGAGGAAGGGAAAGGAGACTGTTAGCCGCTTTGAGACTCCTGAAGGGGAGTGAAAGGCGGGATATCAAATCCAAACTCTTCTTCTTCTTCTTCTTTTGATTATATTGAAAAAACCTTTTAAAATAGAAAAGAAAATGACGGCTCATGTGATTTTATTTTAATTTTAAAACACTCATATACATTACTTCTTTTCTAGTTTAAAATGTAAAGAGTTATGCAAAAATGATCACTTTTAAAACGTTTTTCATATTGAATTTTAAATTCCTGTAACACGCCCCCCCTTGGGATCTTATGGTGAAGGGTGGTAAAAAATAAAAAAATAAGAAGAATGACAATAATTCAGACTCCGCATGTATACTATAACTAGGTGCCACAAGGTACCTGTATATTTTCCCTTGTGGGGCAAAACACAGCTTTTTGTGGTAGGCAATTTAGACTGGCGCGCACACACACCCCACCCTGTGCCATGGCCCCAATTTAAGCTGGTAGCTGTTTTTAACTTATTATTATTATTATTATTATTATTAATTGATTAATCTTCTATTCAAGCATCTCAAGGTGATGCACAATAACAAAACCACCAAAAAGTAGATTTTTAAAAAACCAAAACAATATAAAACCAATGCCTGTGGCAGAGTTTCCTTCATTCAGCTGAGAAGAACAAAAGTGTCTTCAGTTGTTTCCAGAAAGTGCAGATAGTGGACACCTGTCATATCTCAACAAGAATGCTGCTCCTTAGGTGGGCAACCACACCAAAAGTCCTGTTCTGAGTCACTGTGGAGCAGGCTTCTGGTATTTTTGGAGTTTGCAGCAGAAGCTCTCCCACATACTGCAGTGACCTGCTGGGTATATAAGGCATAAAACAGTTTCTCAAATATATCTATATTTAATTACAGGAGATCAGTGATGGTTCTCCTGTCTAGTTTGGCCCTAAGGCTGTCTAATAACATTTCTGGAGACCAGGTTATTCTTCCCCACCACACTGCTGCCTTCACGCACACAGAGGAAGCACAGAAGTTGTTTCAAGCAGTGCTTTTGAGAAGCGCTTTAATTACTGCTCATCAGCTAATGAGTCGAGATTAAATCCTACTGCTTGGAACAGGGCATGCAGCCAATTCAGGATTAAACCCTCTCCTCTCACTCATCAGCTGATATCACCAGTGACCTCAGCTGATGGGCGAGCATACATGGCTTGGAGAAAGTTGCCTTGTGGGCTAAATTGGACCTCCTGGCAGGCCAAGGTTGGCCTGGAGCCAGAGATTCCCCACCCCTGATGTAGAAGGAGAGAAATGACTTAGGGACAGCTGCCTGGTTTTCTTATCACAAATGCCTGTGTGGCTGAAAGGATGTGAAGATGGCAGGTATTAGTATCAGAGAGGAAAGGCAAGAACCAGTAAATAGATTTTGACTGTGTGAATAAAAATACACAGCATGGAGAGTGTATGTTATGTTTCCATCTCCCAGGGTTGAAGTGAGGGGCTCACATAAGGCCTTTGCTTTGTCTCTGAAATGAAGATTTGGTGAAATGTGTTTTATCTTTCAGTTCTACAGCAAATGCATGACGTTATTCAGGCTATATTTTTGCTGCTTAATCAGAGAATTGTCATTAGTTGGTCTTTTTGGTCCCATGGGAAAGAATTTTTTTCACTCTCTAGAGAAAAGAGAACAGTAATACAGCTCTTTTCAAATGATGATTAGAAGTGGAAGCAAGCGTGTATCTTTTGAACTCTGATCCCAGACAGACTGAGTTGTGGTGCAGATTTCAAGGCTTTATCTGAAAATGCTTATATAGAAGCCAAGTGAGCTCTGAGAAGTCAGTCAGTTGTGAATATTTTGTTGTAATTTGGTTTCACTCTTGATGAAGTACATTCAAATGGAGCCAGAAGTTTTGTTTGATCTTTCCTGATAGTTGTGATTTCTGTTAGCACCAGGCTGGCTGGGAGAGTTGTGCTCCCTACTCAAATGAGAATGAACCCAGAGAGAGAAGCTGGCAAGACTCCCCTGTTTACATAATGTGACCTCTGAATGTAGATGGAAATGCTCTAATCTTCTTAGTGATCTAAGCAAAAACTGAATACCGCAACCCAGTTTCTAGGCATCCCAGAAGCTGTTTGAAAATAAAAGCTTCCCATAGAAATTTAGTTAAGCAGCACTTCCACTTCTATTTTTGCTCCTGTTGTAATGTAGTCTAGCTTATGCACAGACCTTATCGCATTCCAGTCTTATTCCATGTCTACCAAGTGATAGAATAATCAAAATAAGCATGCACTATAGTACAAATGGTGGGTGGGTGCGTGCATTTGTATATTTGATAATATTTTAAGTGCAGGCATTTTAGGTTCTCTTTCTAAATGCCTCAGGACCACAATACCTCAAGGACCACGCATGAACCAACCTGGACCCTGCAATCATAATCTGAGGCCCTTCTTTGTGTGCCCATTCCACCAGAGCCCCAGAGGTCAGCAACACAAGAACAAGCCTTTTCTGTGGTGGTTCCCTATTTGTGGAATGCTCTCCCCAGGGAGGGTTGCCTGGCTCCTTATTATATATCTTCAGACACCCGGCAAAAACATTTCTCCGTATCTATGCCTTTGGCTGATTGAACATTCTATAGCCCTTAAATGCGTTTGTAGGAAGGGCATTATTGGTTTGTTTTTGTTTTTTGCTTTGTTGTGTATTTTTTGATCTTTGTGATCTTTAGATGAAGGGCAGTATACAAATATAACAACAACAACAACAACAACAACAACAACAACAACAACAACAACAACAACAACAATAATAGAGCAAGAACAATGATGCTTATATCATTAAAACATTTGTTCCCCCCTAGCTCTGTGCTGCTCATCTGCCAACTCGATCAGATGCACCAAATCACTATCAAGCAGTGTGCCGGGCACTATTTGCAGAAACAATGGAGCTGTACACATTCTTGGCCAGAATTAAAAGTGCAAGAGAGGTAAGCATGGTAAAAGTAATGAGTGTTTGCTTTACTCATTTTTGAGACTTGTTTTGTTCTTCTATACACTAATATGTACACATACTATGTCAAAAAAAGGTAATTTTTGCCAGAATAGGTTGGAGGACATTCTGTTGTGAGGATGATGCTTCCCACTAGACTTGATAGGTAGGATTTTTAGAGCCTTTCCTCGTCCTCTTCCAGACCTACCCTGCCTATGGCTTTTACTTTCTCTGGAAATATTCCTATATTTGAACCTTTCTAGTGATATGAAAGGTTCATATAGTGATATATACCTTGACAGTGACTTGCAGTACAATCCTAACCTTATTTACTCAGAAGTAAGTCCTACTGAATTCAGTGGAGCTTACTTCCAGGTAAATGAAGTTAATATTGCAGCTTTTAGCATTTCTCTTATAGGTGGTATATTAAAAACATTGATAGACTTAAATTTGTGGTGACCAGAAAGCTCTTAAAATAACTGCTCTCTGGAGAGGTTTAGAGTGTGCACTCTGATTTAATGCTGCAGTGACCTTTGGTTCAATAAAGAATGAGCAATTTCCTGTCAATTCAACAAATCTCATTTGAGGATTTGACTTCTGTTCAATGTCATCCACAGGGTCTATTTTTTCATGCTGATATGATAAAACTAGAATGTGTACAGATGTATATAATTTGTGTGGTGAGCCTGCTCTGGAAGTGCACTCATTGCATTTTGTTCAGAATTACAGCCTTTCCCCCAGATTGAGTTCAGTAGAAACTTGTTCTGCATAATTTTTGCAAAAGCTGACTGTGCACATGACTAATTTGCTGGAAGTAGTGATGTCATTAAACCTCTTGCCATGAAACTTACTGCCCTAATGTTCATTTTCATTAGTTTTTCATCATAATAAAGCAGTCAGGGTGAATTGGTTTTACAAGTCTGTAATACAAACAACAACAACAACAACAACAACAACAACAACAACAACAACAACAACAACATGCTTACTCAATAGAGTTTACACATCAAGCATCCAAACTGTCTATTATCTGTCTTTTTGTATAGAAAGCAGTAACACTTGTTCCTTAAAATAAAGAAGGAAATACAATCTCTCTCAGTGGCTCAAGCTTTCAAATGATCTCTCAGGGGAGATTTCCCTGTATTATCTTTCCCAACAGATGTCAACCTTTTCTGGGATCATTAAATTTTCAGCAGCTTTTTACAACATGTTCTTAGCAAAAAGTTAGTTTAGTTACCCAAAACAACAATGTGTGAAATTCAGGTTTCAGTTAGGTGAAATTATAATGGAATGTGTCACATTATTTATACAAAACTTTCAATTGGCAGTGGTGCAGAAATTTCTAGTGTTAAGCAGAGCAGTGTATAATCAAATCTCCTTGGTGGAAAAATTTATATACAGATGCAGGAAATAATAAGAAAACAATTGAAGGGAAACATATACACATGGCTTCAGCTGACACAAACTGTGACAAATATGACACTATTACATCAAGTTAAATAAAGTACCTTTAAAAAGGCCAGGTCTAGAAATCTAGCAATAAGCCAATATAAACAACAGATGAACAGATTTCATTCCTTATATTACAAGTTTATAAGGTTGATTATAAGGTTGTTGTAAATATTACAACTAGTTAATGTATGTGAAGTGCTTTTAACACCTGAAAATGTTATACAAATGTCAACTATTTATTATTATTAGTGGTGGTGGTGGTGGTGGTAGTACGGTGAATAGCTTGGAGATAGGGCAGGATGTTCAAATACATTTCATATTAGGTATATGGGTACCCCACCATATACAACAGAAACCAATGCATCCACTCACAGATATTAATGGGCCCCAGTGTTAGACCATATAGACCTTCTAAAGGTAATAATCTGCAAATCTAACTGCCTAGAAGCAGCTAGCCAGTAGCACATGCTTCAAGGCTGATACCACCCTCTTATACTGTATCTCAGGTCAGCAGTGTCATTCTGAATCAAGTCATGGATAACAACTTTTTTTAGCAACCACTGATCCAACACTGATAAGCCAGAGTCCATTCTTGAAGTCCTGCGTTGACATCAAACCCAGAGTAACAAGGGTTGAAGGGAGAACTGAAACAACTGGAACCCCTTTCATTAACCTTGTGTTGTTTTCTTGCCTGTGCCCCTCCTTTCTCTGTCTCTACCATTTTGATTCTGGGCCCCACTTGATCCCCACTCTATTCATCATCTGTTGCCCACATTGCAAATATATTGGCTGAGATTCAAAGATGCCGTTCCACTAGTGTATAGCCTCTTTTGGTTATGAAAGGGCTGGTTCTGATCTATTCTGACCATACTGCTGCTGTTTCATTGCAACATATCTACCTTTTATTTTAACCTACAGAATTTGAAGAAGATGCAGGAAATGGACAGAGAAGGAACTGATGACTCCAGCGCTGATCTTGATGATTTAAAAACTGCTGATTGGGTAATACTGCCTTGTAAATAATACACTAAATATTGTGGCCAAATATTGTGTACGATTGTGGAGTGTTTTTTGGTTTTTTTACTGTTCATGTGTTTTTATTTATTGATAAGCATATTTCCAAACCTCCAACTCTTTAAACATATTGTGGTAGTGTACAATAAAAGCATCAGAATATCATAAATTTATAAACATTATCTATACAATTTATATAATACCTATAAAAGCTTATAAAATTTTATATTTAGAACCATAACTAAGAAAAAGTTATAAAAGTTAATTTAAACTAGTGATCATTATGTTTTGGATCAGCTTAGTTATTTTTCTTAGTGGGCTAACATTTGATTATGGATTCTGAAAAATCCATTTATGGATTGATTATGGATTCTGAAAAATATTAATGTTCTTGATTCTTCAGGCTCAGTTTTGGGTGCAGGTCATGCGAGACTTGCGAGATGGTGTGAAACTGAAGAAAGTTAAAGAACGTCAGTTCAATCCTCTTCCCATAGAGTATCAGCTCACTCCGTATGAGATGCTGATGGATGATATTCGATCCAAACGCTATACTTTAAGGAAAGTTATGGTAAGCTGTGACAACACAAGTTAAAAAAGAAATGACCACCTTTCACTGTGTCTTTTGGTGAAAGTCAGGTTTATGATTCCACACATATCCATAGAATAGTGGTGGAAACCCTGCAGCTTGTATAGATGGCATTATGCAGACCTCTGGACATTGCAGGCCCGCTCTTGTTCTGTAGACCACTCCTCTGGAAACTGCTTCCTCTTCCATGGTGTGTGCAGAGGCAGTGCGACTGGGTTGTCCGCACTGGGTCCTGGTGCCACAAGGGATGCTTCAACAATGGTGTAGAACAGAGCACCATGGGGCACCACTGAAATTTGAGAGCCCAGAGAGAGAGAGAGAGAGAGAGAGAGAGAGAGAGAGAGAGAGAATGTGTGTGTAAGTAAGTAAGTAAGTAAGTAAGTAAGTAAGTAAATAAAAGAGAGAAAGAAACAGACAGAGGGAGACACAGAGAGAGGGCCCAGGCGGAAAAAGCCTTATAGGGCGTATAACATCTTTATTGCTGGGAATCACAAGTGGGGGGAGTGCTCTTGCACTCATATTCTGTTTGTGGCCTTCAGGCCTATGTGAGAATAGAATTCTGGACCAGCAGCTGCTGTTATGATCATTTTGGCAATTTGGGTGGGTGGGTGAAATGCAGGCAATATGTAGATGGAGGTTGCCAATGGCTGCAGCAAGCAGAATTCGTCCCATTGTGCCTTGCTTCTTTTTGGCTGTTGTGATAGTTCTGGATTTTTGGTCTGATTCATCAAAGATAATTCTTAATGTCAAACAACGTGTTATTATCTTCAGCACCCCTTAGCTGATTGAAGACTGTTGTTGTGTTTCAGTGATTATGATGGTTTTAGGATGCATTGCCCTGTTTCCATTTTCAAATTACCAGATGATACAGATATGCAGATAAAACATTAGTTTTCTCTCTTTCAGGTCAATGGGGATATCCCTCCACGATTAAAAAAGAGTGCTCATGATATTATCTTGGACTTTATCCGATCTCGACCTCCATTAAATCCAGTATGTAATCTGATATGTGCCTTTTCCTAGTTAAGATGTAGCTTTTAAATATATTTTGTTTGCAATAATTGTTTTTATTGATGCTTCTACCACTTCTCACCTGAAAAATGCTGTAGAATAGAAAACACAAACATTTTCCATATAATCTATTCCCTTTCAGCTTTATAATGCTTGCATAGAAAGTTAAAACAAGTAACAGGAATTCTTTTAAAATAAAACTCTCTGGTATTTTCACTTTCCTTCTAATCAGAATTCCCTGCTCACAGTATATTGCTCTCAGTAGGTTTTCTCAGCTTGAGTCTTGTACTCTTCCTCCCTTCTGTGGCCAATTCCTGCCCAGACATTGCCTCTCTTAATTTCTCACACACTTGTTGGGCCATTTAACCAGGGACAGGTATGCCCAAATGCACTTCCTCCTCTTGGTTATGCTATCTTTTCCCCTTGGTATTTAACATACATAGGATTCAGACAAGCACTAACTTTATTGCTGCCAGACTCCCTGTTGAATTAATACGCATTCCTTACAAACCTATTTCAGCTAGCCTTGTTGTTTGCTTGCTGGGTTTTTTCATTCCTGACTCTGTCCACACATTTTCCAATATCAATTTTTATTTGCACCTGTATTTCTTGATTCAAGGAAGGAGAGGTTTTAATTCACTATAAATCATATTTCCCAATTAACTTGTAGCCTCCTAGTTGTTGTTTTTTACCCTATCATGCCCAGTTCCTGATGAATATACCCTTTTTATTTAAAAAGGGATGGGGGAATACTTTAATTTCTAAATGGGGCAAGTACAATTACTACCAAAAAAATTAGCTGCCTTTGCATTGAGCACTGAGGAGAAACAACATGAAGAAACAAAGTCTATCAGACCTGCTATCTTGAATTTGATCTAGTTCAGAATCAGTAAGGTTTATTATATAAGCCTGTCTGGATCAATGCCTGAATCCATCCCATAACCCTATGTGTGTTTTAGTTTACGAAAGACTTCACCATGATAATAATTTGCTGTACACATCTCTTGTGAAGTGTTTGGCATCAATTCTCTACTTTTATATTAATGTTCACAAGGCCTCTGCAAGAAAACTAAAACCAACCCCACCAAGACCACGTAGCCTCCATGAAAGAATACTAGAAGAAATCAAGTCTGAAAGAAAACTGAGACCCGTCTCTCCTGATGAGATCAGGCGCAGCAGGCTAGGTATTTCGATTTTGATTATATTAGTCCTGGGTGGTACTCTGCTGATGAAATTATTGCATATTGCTAATGGCTTGTATCCAACTGGTGTCCTTCCGCTTACTGAAGGCTCATTGATGAAGCAGAGCCTTCTATCACGAGAACAGGGAATGAGACATTCTCCAGTGATTCCCCACACACCTGCACACTGTTCTGAAATGTCCTTTTGTGCTGATTTGGGGGTGTGGGGAGTAAGGGGCTAAAGAGGGAAGGAAATTGCTAAACAAAACCCAGCCTGCTAATTTTGATAGGTGGTGATTGTACCTAAGTTGCTTGATTCTTGCAGGTGTGAAAAAACCAGTATGTTCACTGAGCTCTCTTCATAAGAACAGTCATTAAAGTGAAATGGAATGCCTGCAAGCTCAGGAGTTCTGATTGCTTATTAAAAGGCACATGGGCTCTGTATTTATTAAAATAATAATAATTATCAGTGATTTAGACCAGCTATTTCAATTTTCAGTTATTTCATTTTTCTTATGTTGGTCTAGGAAAATATAATTGCCACAATGATCTTTGCTGGACACGTGGAGTAGTTTTCCACTAATTTATTGACAAGTAGCAGTGGTTGCTTTCCTTTTGTACAAAGCAACATGTCACTTATTCTTTTGGTGTATGGGGTGTGTGTTTTTAACTTCTCTTTCAATTTCTGCACAGTAGTCCTACAAGATTCCATTTAAATGCAATAGTGTGATATCTAGCCCACATGTAACAGCTTGGAGAAGAGTGTGTGTGATACCCATACCACTTTCTACATTAATAAAAATCAAGGTAGATATATGCTGCAGCATTGGACACATGAACACACATCCTCTCAAAAACTACATAAAAACAAGTCAATGAAATTATAGGGCATTGATGCAACTGGAGAGAGATATTTGCTGTCTGACACCTAAAAAAAATGTTGAAACTCTCACATATTAAAACTTTTATTTAAAAGTCATAAAACAGCACCACCGTGAGAGGATTTGTGTATCTACTATTAATGTCACAGGCAATAAAGAAGGAAGTGCCTATAAATGGGGAGGGAACCATCTTCATCCCCATCAGGGCACTAGGCTCCACCTATACCAGCACAGTGTTACTTTAATTTTTGTTGTTCTCACTGCTGCTGCCAGAAAAAATTGCTTAGGGAGGATGGATCTTTTCTTTCAAAGTGGAGTTTAGCAACCCCTAAATTATAGTGTCAGAATATTCAGTGTGAATAGTATTGCTGTTCAAGTTATCTCGTTACACATCCAGCTTTACAGTATATAATTTTGCACCAGCAGTGCATACTCTGATTATCAGCAGTTGCCTATTTTCAGTTTTCATGAGAGCATATATAGTCAAGTGGTTAAAAGCATGAGTTGTAAACCAATTTTAGTTCAAATTTTAGCATACTGGGCAGCTTTAGGCAGACCACCATTTTTCAATCTTAATTCCGCGTCTGTAATTTGTGGATAATACAGGCCTACATTCCATGGTTGTTGTAAGGATTACTGAGTGAAGTATGTGAAGCACTTTAAGCATTTAGAGAAAACACTATAATCACCAATAACTGCTCTTTTTACAACCAAGATGACCTTATTCTCATCGAAAGAATGGTAGATATCTTAGAAGAATAGTTATTTTGTGCATTTGGCAATTTACAGTTGGGAGTAGAGTCGGGAATTTTATGCCAGTACTGAGATTAATTGACCAAACTATTTTGAGTACCTCTGCAATTGCATGTGGCTACCTCCTTGAAATGTAGTGCCATAATGTTTGCCACCCTCCCCCACCCTCCTTATGTATTTATGCATGTATTTCTATTACAGTATAACTTTTTCAGCAGCATCTTTGTGACAGGATTTTTTTTTTTACTTTACCAGTGATCCTAAGTACATTCATAGCCACTTCTAACATGACAAATTTCCTATACCAAAATAATTTTGAAATATAAAATAGAATTTACAAAATCAAAACTGAAAAAATGCAGGTCTGTTTTTCCATGTGTGTATGCCACAGAAACCTGCTAGCAGTCAGAACTTCCTTGCAGTTAAACATGTGAAGCAAAATACCGTATTTTTCGCTCTATAAGACGCACCAGACCACAAGACGCACCTTGTTTTTGGAGGAGCAAAACAAGAAAAAAAATATTCTGAATCCCAGAAGCCAGAAGAGCAAGAGGGATCGCTGCGCAGTGAAAGCAGCAATCCCTCTTGCTGTTCTGGCTTCTGGGATAGCTGCACAGCCTGCATTCACTCCATAAGACGCACACACATTTCCCCTTACTTTTTAGGAGGGAAAAAGTGAGTCTTATAGAGCAAAAAAATACGGTAAATGTGTATTTATTGTATGTGACACTGTACACAAAGATTTATATGCAATTTTCTACACTCATTTAAGTAATTTGTCATGTGTCAAGTGGCCCTTACTGGAATCGATGTGACTTTGGGCCAAATTAGAAGGTATTAATCCTGCATGCAGGCTTCAGGAAAGCCTTTACTTATGGCTATGTAATGTGAAGGCAGTGTAATGTTTAAAAGATTATCACCACATGTCCAGCCCAATTATGCATAGTATCTGTACACCAGCATCATCCCTGATGAGAATGTGCAACAATGATAGGTATATTATAGGCGTGCATATTGGGGGCTGCACATGCAGTAAAGATCTTTTAAATATCATACTCACTGTGCTCTGCATGTGGAGTTAATATTAGCTAAACTAGCCCTTCCAGGGAAATATATGTTTAGGATCCAGGTGTTAATGTATTTCCAACCTCCCATGATGCTGTTGCAGTGTTTACACTTACACCTTTACTGCTGTAAAGAAAAAGTGTCTGACTCATTTCAGATTTAGATTGCCCTGTATAATAAAATTTGAAATGTCTCTCATTTAAACTAACCTTCTGTTTTCTTTGTGTTCCCTTAAAAACAGATTGTTTTTCTTTTGTCATTTTGATTTCTTTTCTTTTCTTTTTCCAGCAATCCGGCCTCTTAGCATGTCTTACAGTTTTGACTTGTCAGGTAAAATGTGCTACAGCACCTGACGTGGTTATTGTGATAACTGTAAATCGTGTTCCATTCCATTTCTTTGTTTAATGTAAGAAAAACATCTGAAGGATGTTTTTCCAAATCCTAGTCTGCAGATTTTAAGATTAATTTAAATATCATCTGAGATACACGCTAAAATCATTAGCATTTGTGTAAACATTTCTTTTAAAAAATACTGTAGTTATAGAAGAGTGCAGAGCTAGTATAATATATTTGAGTAAACACCCATTACTCTGACTGGGCACCCAAAGGGAAAGAGTAACTCCTCTATGAAGAAAGGTTGCGGCATTTGGGACTTTTAGTTTAGAGAAAAAGTGAGTAAGCGGTGACATGATAGACAAGTATAAAATTATGCATGGCATGGAATAAGTTTTTCAGTAAAGTTTTTCTCCCTCTCTCATAACACTAGTACATGTGGACATTCCATGAAGCTGAATCTTGAAAGATTCCGGACAGATAAAAGAAAGTACTTTTTCATGCAGCACAAAGTTATATGGAACTCGCACCCGTGGCAGGCAGTGATGGCCACTAACTTAGACAGCTTTAAAATTGGATTAGATACAGTCACGGAGGAAAGGGCTATCAAATGATGGCTCTTATCTGCCTCCATAGTTGGAGGCAATAATGCTTCTGGATACCAGTTGCTGGAAAAACAGGGTGGGAGAATCATCTTGTGCTCAAATCCTTCTTGCGGATTTACCACAAGCATCTGGTTGGCCACTGTGATAATGGGATGCTGGACTATATGGGCCATTGGCCTGATCTAGTAGACTCTTCTTGGGTTCTTAGGAATTTATTCACAAACCATTTATAGAAGATTGGTTCTGTTGGTTCACTGTACCAGTGCAATGCTCCACAACAGTGTTGGTCCAGAACTCCCTTCATACATGAGCCAATGACAGGCATGATATTCTAACCACGATTAGCAGTGGCCTCTAGGCTCATGCAGTTTTCCTCCACTTCCACATGAGAATTTTCCTTCCCTTTTATTTTCATATGGCAAGATCAGAGCTAGGTTTGAAGGAGTCCAGGAGAAAAGCCCCTCCTAGGACCTCCTATATCACCCTGGTCTTTGCATCAAGGAAGCTTAACAAGTGGCTTTGTCACTTCTTAACATGTTTTCTCAATGTGACAGGTGCACTGCAAAGTGAAGCACTTTCTGAGGGTATTGCCACCTGCCGTTTTCATTTCCCAGAATACCTCTTGGCACCAGGTCCCAGAAGCATTCTGAGGAAAAGCAGATGGTGGGTGGATGCAGCCTTGGCAGCCACTTTGCAGCATGGACACCACTTTGGTAAAAAAAAATAAAAAATTAACAAAGAAAATGAAAAGTTATTTCAGAGTCTAGCATTAGCTCTGAATGGCCTTCCTGGGGCCTATGAATCCCAGCATTTACCTGACCATTGCAGGTGCTCACAGTGGGCCTGAACCATGATGTAGCGTACTAGTATATACTAGTGCACATGTGTACTAGTATTTCATCGAACCATGGTAAGCACCAAATATGAGTTTGCAACTATCATTAAAAATAGCTTTCAGAACTCTGGGGAGAGCTAAGCAGGGCCAGCAAAGATTCTCCTGCAGGCATAACATTAGCCATGGCTAGTTCTGAAAATCTAAGAGAGAGAGAATTCACATGGAAAAGGGGAGAAGGAAGGGAGATAAAATGAGAACTTACTATTCTTTCTTGAACTCATAACCTTATGAGGTTGTTTCAATAGATACAGTGGTACCTTGGGTTACAGACTCCGCTAACCCGGAAGTAGTACCTCGGGTTAAGAACTTTACCTCAGGATGAGAACAGAAATCATGCGCTGGCGGTGCGGCGGCAGCAGGAGGCCCCTCTAGCTAAAGTGGTACCACAGGTTAAGAACGGTTTCAGGTTAAGAACGGACCTCCAGAATGAATTAAATTCGTAACCAGAGGTACCACTGTACTCTCTTTTTT